TGCTACAGATGGCGTTCACTGTGCCGTTTGTAGTATTTTCAGTTAATGATATGTTTGAAGCCATGAAGGGTTAGTTAGAGATATATTAGTAGCAGAAACAGGGGTAACGATGGGCTTAAGATGGCATGAATTAGATAACTGTCCAGAAATAGTTAAAGATTAGATGTTCCGGTTTTCGGGAAATACGAAGATTTTGGCTCAGGGTAGGGAAGAGTGGAAATGCAGGAGAACCTTACGATTTTATAATGATTTCAGACGTAAAAATCGTCCCATAAGTATCGCATGCATTTAAATTTATAAATTTTTAATTCAGGTCCTTTGGTATTACCTATTAAGTAGATACCTATAATAGAACAGACGATGGCTTCTCATTTTTTTAGACTTTCTTTTATTGCAGTCCGATTGAAACANCTATAATTTACGCCTACTGAAAGCTTATTTGTGTATCGGTTCCAAGTGACTTACCCAAATAGGTCATAAATGGGCAAGTACCTGCGCGACCGCTCGCCAGCTTCCTTTGTCAAACCTGTACATAGGTACTTAGTAGTAAATATCTAGATATTTTCTAATTTCTGAATTATTTTCAATGATATTTAATTAACTCACTAACAGTTCTTCTATTGTATTTCGCCATACTTGAAAGTTTGCAGTGTATTTTAAAGCATTTATTTGTAAAAATTTTGTAATCGCTGTTAATAACACATTTTTGATAAAATCTTCATACTTACAGATGATGCGTGGAATTTACCTAAAACCTAACAAGTACATACGTATACCTATTGGGGATTATATCCGTAAAATTGTTTATACTCTACGCCAAATGTAGGGTAATATGAAGCAATTTAAAGAATTAAAACTTGAAATAATTGAAATTCTATTGCACTTTTATTTTTCATTTTTTTTTTCTACCCCTCGCGCGTAACTTTAAAAACCTTTCAAATTACTCTACGTGAGTGAATACTAATGAACATTTCACACGACAAACATCGTTTAATTTAAAAGTCTTTGTCCTTGCACGTCGCATTTTTTTTTGTCCACGTATATATAATACATTTTTTATTATTAAAACTGGAAATTAAGTAGGTGACAACGATGATGTCAGATAACTTGCATGGAACATTTCAATTTTTAAAACGCCTGAGAATAGAAAGAAGATTATACATGTAGGTACATAAAAATTGCTAACTTATTAATAACACTGATGCCATTCCTTTTTTACAAAAGCAACAACAGAAATTCGCTTGACTTATTGCCCCACTGAGAATTAACGAAACTTGAAAACAGATAAGGCATTTTTTTTTATTCTAGAGCATTTTCGTAAAGTAACAGAATTTTACAAATAACATTTTTAATTCCAATTGTCGATATCTAGAAAGTCATACATATATTTTAGAGTGAAAAACGCGATATTTATCTAAAGTCCAAAGGCATAAAACGAATAATAGCGCAGGATCAAGTTCTTTTTAACAAAAAGAAATCACTACCGATTTCGCAAACAGTTAATGATATAAAATAATTCGAAGTGGTCTGTATTCTGTCGAAACTGCCAGACGCGGATCGCGATTTCGATCTTTTTGGATCTCATCAGCGCGTCGCAGGCAGCTCCGACAGAACACAGACCAACTTTTACCTGCTGTCTTAACAGTGCGTTTTAGAAAATACTACAAATGGCGCAGTAAACGCCATCTGTAGCACGATGCTACATTTTAGGATTACGTATGCTCCAACAAGGTCCACTTGTGTGGATATCTACTTGCTGAAAACGAATCCCGGCGTAGCCAACCTCAACGTGATAGGCACGTTAGCTTAATCGAATAAAATAATTCGAAGTGGTCTGTATTCTGTCGAAACTGCCAGACGCGGATCGCGATTTCGATCTTTTTGGATCTCATCAGCGCGTCGCAGGCAGCTCCGACAGAACACAGACCAACTTTTACCTGCTGTCTTAACAGTGCGTTTTAGAAAATACTACAAATGGCGCAGTAAACGCCATCTGTAGCACGATGCTACATTTTAGGATTACGTATGCTCCAACAAGGTCCACTTGTGTGGATATCTACTTGCTGAAAACGAATCCCGGCGTAGCCAACCTCAACGTGATAGGCACGTTAGCTTAATCGAATAAAATAATTCGAAGTGGTCTGTATTCTGTCGAAACTGCCAGACGCGGATCGCGATTTCGATCTTTTTGGATCTCATCAGCGCGTCGCAGGCAGCTCCGACAGAACACAGACCAACTTTTACCTGCTGTCTTAACAGTGCGTTTTAGAAAATACTACAAATGGCGCAGTAAACGCCATCTGTAGCACGATGCTACATTTTAGGATTACGTATGCTCCAACAAGGTCCACTTGTGTGGATATCTACTTGCTGAAAACGAATCCCGGCGTAGCCAACCTCAACGTGATAGGCACGTTAGCTTAATCGAATAAAATAATTCGAAGTGGTCTGTATTCTGTCGAAACTGCCAGACGCGGATCGCGATTTCGATCTTTTTGGATCTCATCAGCGCGTCGCAGGCAGCTCCGACAGAACACAGACCAACTTTTACCTGCTGTCTTAACAGTGCGTTTTAGAAAATACTACAAATGGCGCAGTAAACGCCATCTGTAGCACGATGCTACATTTTAGGATTACGTATGCTCCAACAAGGTCCACTTGTGTGGATATCTACTTGCTGAAAACGAATCCCGGCGTAGCCAACCTCAACGTGATAGGCACGTTAGCTTAATCGAATAAAATAATTCGAAGTGGTCTGTATTCTGTCGAAACTGCCAGACGCGGATCGCGATTTCGATCTTTTTGGATCTCATCAGCGCGTCGCAGGCAGCTCCGACAGAACACAGACCAACTTTTACCTGCTGTCTTAACAGTGCGTTTTAGAAAATACTACAAATGGCGCAGTAAACGCCATCTGTAGCACGATGCTACATTTTAGGATTACGTATGCTCCAACAAGGTCCACTTGTGTGGATATCTACTTGCTGAAAACGAATCCCGGCGTAGCCAACCTCAACGTGATAGGCACGTTAGCTTAATCGAATAAAATAATTCGAAGTGGTCTGTATTCTGTCGAAACTGCCAGACGCGGATCGCGATTTCGATCTTTTTGGATCTCATCAGCGCGTCGCAGGCAGCTCCGACAGAACACAGACCAACTTTTACCTGCTGTCTTAACAGTGCGTTTTAGAAAATACTACAAATGGCGCAGTAAACGCCATCTGTAGCACGATGCTACATTTTAGGATTACGTATGCTCCAACAAGGTCCACTTGTGTGGATATCTACTTGCTGAAAACGAATCCCGGCGTAGCCAACCTCAACGTGATAGGCACGTTAGCTTAATCGAATAAAATAATTCGAAGTGGTCTGTATTCTGTCGAAACTGCCAGACGCGGATCGCGATTTCGATCTTTTTGGATCTCATCAGCGCGTCGCAGGCAGCTCCGACAGAACACAGACCAACTTTTACCTGCTGTCTTAACAGTGCGTTTCAGAAAATACTACAAACGGCACAGTGAACGCCATCTGTAGCACGATGCTACATTTTAGGATTACGTATTTTTCAACAAGGTCCACTTGTGTGGATATCTATGGAAAATACCTAATCCTAAAATGTAGCATCGTGCTACAGATGGCGTTCACTGTGCCGTTTGTAGTATTTTCAGTTAATGATATGTTTGAAGCCATGAAGGGTTAGTTAGAGATATATTAGTAGCAGAAACAGGGGTAACGATGGGCTTAAGATGGCATGAATTAGATAACTGTCCAGAAATAGTTAAAGATTAGATGTTCCGGTTTTCGGGAAATACGAAGATTTTGGCTCAGGGTAGGGAAGAGTGGAAATGCAGGAGAACCTTACGATTTTATAATGATTTCAGACGTAAAAATCGTCCCATAAGTATCGCATGCAGTTAAATTTATAAATTTTTAATTCAGGTCCTTTGGTATTACCTATTAAGTAGATACCTATAATAGAACAGACGATGGCTTCTCATTTTTTTAGACTTTCTTTTATTGCAGTCCGATTGAAACAATTATAAGCGGTTGTTGGTTGATTTAAGGACACTTGTCTGATAAAAATAAAAGATAAAAAGAAACTGAATATGACGGGCGTATGGTAATATTGAATTTAAGGAGGCGTTCCGTTATTTTGCGGTTTTAAGTAGCTGCACCAGATGACGATGACGTTAAGGAGCATTAGCTTTTATTACACGGAGGTCTGCTTAAAGACAGTTAACAATCTTACTTAATTAACCCAGTTACAAAACTAGTATCAAAAATAATTATATGTTGCTTAACATAATCAAAGAGTTTTTTGGATAAGGTTTAAGAACCTCATTTATCAAAAGATTAAATTCTTAAACAACCACTAAACTGACTATAACTCAAACACTATATTTTACATGGAACTTTAACGTGAAGTACTAAGTACTTAAGTCATAACGTTCACAGAACAGAAATTACAGCCATTTTCCATTTATGTAGTTGCACCAGAGAAAATACATAATTTGGTCAAAGTGTGGAATATTTGTATTTTTCAAAGTTGTTTCCTAAAAACTATTAAAATCTTTAGAGCAAAGCGTAAGAGCTTTCAAAAGCTTCAAATTAGATTTAATGGACTTTATTACCTGATTTATTTACCTATTTATATGAAAAGATGACCAAGAAGGTATATGTACCACCTCATTTTGCTCTAAGTACAGCACCACCATTTGATGATTGCATGTAATTAGAATATTCCTATAATACTAGCAGAAGAATAGTATTATAAAGGAATTGGCAAAAAAAATTTAATAGTGCGGGTTTTCTTAAACTTTGAAGGAAAACTACACAAGTACATCATCAAAGATTCCTTCCACATAGCAAAAATTTACAATAAAAACTATAAAATCGGTTAGTTTAATTTAAGTAATTAAAAAATAAACAACGATAGTTACATGGTGACCTAACATATTTGCTTGCTCTTGCTTATTCTAATTGTATAATTTTTGTTACAGATTTTTTTAAATGGACTACAACTGGCTGGCACCGACCTTCCCAAGCCAATAAAGGTAAAAAAAAATAATTTGTTTTTCGTACAAAATTCTTTTATCGTTAGATCGAAGTTTCGTAGGTGTTATACAGGCGTAAGTAAGGTAAATGTTTCACCGAATATAGAAACTACAACTCCCAAATTCATTTCTGAACAAAGCGTAAAAATCCTCAAAAGATTTAATTCGCATTTTTTGTTATTATTATTTAATTACGTTATTATTTACTAGTTTTTATCCGCGGCTTCGCGTTGATATCCTGCGTACGTGTCAAACATAAATTTGTTGTTAAGTCCTGACCAAGATTATTAGGATAGAACTAAATTTCCTAATTTCAAAGTAAAACATATACACTTTGCCTATAATGACAGTAAACACCGTCCTTCTTTATCGAGATGAAAAGAAATTTTTCTATCCCTCGGGATGAACAGTATTTCTTTCCTCCGTATGAGGTAACCTATGTCCTTTTCTGTATCCATGACAATGTGTGTATAAAATTTCANAATTAAAAAAAAAAAAAAACGCAACCAATTGTAAAACGTCAACGTAAAATTCACAATCTCACCAAAAATTATTTCGACCAACTAATTTTCTTTGTCTTTCTTATTTTCTTTGTTTCCGCGGAAGAGACTAATAACTGCTTTACTTGTGGCCCAAAATATAAGAAACTTACAAATTCGATGACAATAGAGTAATGACGTACCTATAATAAGGAATAAGGTGAAGCACCTACTTCTAGAAATTTCTTTTCAGTATATACATTCCAGTAGGCACATTAACAATTTGGCAAGTACTATATAAGCCTATATACTCTGTATATACTTGCAGGTTTGCCTATAATGACAGTAAACACCGTCCTTCTTTATCGGGATGAAAAGAAATTTTTCTATCCCTCGGGATGAACAGTATTTCTTTCCTCCGTATGAGGTAACCTATGTCCTTTTCTGTATCCATGACAATGTGTGTATACAATTTCATTATGATCGATTGAGTAGTTAAGACGTGAAATGGTAATAAACAAACACACTCGCATTTCCAATATTAGTTAGGATATGAGAAGTGGATTAAAGCATTTGTACAATCATTAGGTAATACCTATGTTAGGTTCTCAATTTACCACTGATGTAATGGTACTTACTTGGTGTATGTATTTTACAAGAATTCGCCAGAAAATCATGCTCAGTATAGGTAATTCTTTGATTCTGTTGTCACTAATGATATCATATACTTATTAGCTACCAGTACCAGTACCAGGGCGCCTGGACTTTCAGCCTACACAAGCATCATAGTACAAGTTTAAAATTTTACACTGATTTAAGGGCGATACGGATAAACATATGTGCTCCATGACCGCCTACTAATAAATAAGAAAAGCTAGCAGAATATAAATTTAAATTGTCATTAAAAATAATCGATAGGACAAAAAATTCGTTTCGAGTTTTTGGCTTATCCCAAATATATACATGAAGTTTTAATTAGTTATTCGTAATTTTGATATAGTTTTTCCACTTCCTAAATTAAGTCATTTGTTTGCTTAAGATTGGCGTAAAATTATCACCATTAGTTTCCGTTTCCTTCAGACAATTAGCTTTATCATTCGGAACATTCTAAGGCGCCTGATTCATTTCTTTCGTTTATAGTCTCTTATCGCCTATATTATATATTAAGTATACATTATATTTCTGATGTACATATATAGGTAGGTACAGGTCTGACGAAGGAAGCTGGCGAGCAGTCGCGCAGGTACTTGCCCATTTATGACCTATTTGGGTAAGTCACTTGTAATCGATACACAAATAAGCTTTTAGTAGGCGTAAATTATAGTATTAATACAGATAGGACAGTAGCGTACTAGAAAATAATGTAGAAACATGACTTATCAAAAAGAAAAAATTAATCTATTGCTTTTGTTTTATAGTTAGTTTTTACATTTACTCTCATCATGGGAATCTCTATCACTGTCACCAACATCAACAATTAGTTCTTCTGTTTGTCTGTCTATTACTTGCTCACTGATCCCTATTTTTAGATATTTAATCTACGCCCCAATCGTTATACCTAAAACTGCCTACTTTTGCCACCGCGCATCCACGCTATTTTAAAATTTCCGCCAGCTTCCAGCGTCAGGCCTGTACATATATTTCTTTTCAAAGAGGATGAGATAAAATGTACACGCAATTCAATAAGTTGAAAGTTCATTCGGTATCAAAAATTAAATTGATAGATAGACTTAAAATTAGATTAGACTGAACTAGAGAATTTTTCTTGAAATACAATACTAATATATATGAAGAGTGCATTGTTTCTATAATTATATATTGTACTTCTTCCTTGTTAACTAATTTTCGATTTTCTTTCTAATGCGCCCTCGCAATTTAAACTTACTCCGCGAGAGAGACCTTAAGGCTTCAAAGTAATAAGAAAGTTCTTATTGGAGAGGCCTACGAATATTTAAATCAAGGTAGAGGCAGGTAGAAAATGTTCTTTTACCATTGGTGCTTTAGATTCTTGCTGCCATTGGCAACTCTTCTTGCATGACAGTAGTGGGAGGTTCGTGACAATGTCAGCAGAAAGACTTAAGTAACTTTGCTAATACCTAAAATCTAAACTAATGAAGGTACATGATGCGAACAATAAATAAACTAACCAATTCGAAAGATGCGGCAGACCTATTTTAACTTATAACATAATATAGTGGAACTATACTACGTTTAATAACATTCAAAGCTAAAAAGGAGCTAAAGCTCTTTATTTTGTAAAAAGCATTGCCTTTTACAATTTGCTCCCTTATTTGATTACTTACCTAATATTTTCATAACAAGGGGAAGATAATGGAAAATATTGTATTGTATTTGCTCTAAAAACCTTATAACGACAGACGGCGTGGAGAATACTATCTGGGAATACTGTATTTATCAGAACAAAAGCTTTTGGTCACTGATACGTCCATATCGCTTGATACGGATGGCGATTTCCAAATTTTCGGATCACATCAACATGCGACAGACAGTTCAAATAGAGCGCCACCTCTAGTAATTTTCTACTATTTGTGGGTTTATTAAGTTTTGTCTGAGAAGGTCCTTTTACGATTAAGGATATCAACCTGTCAAACTGAAAGGATTCAAACAGATCGAAATCACGAAGATTCAAGAACTTTTAACCTATTAATTCAAAAAAAAAAAAAAACGCAACCAATTGTAAAACGTCAACGTAAAATTCACAATCTCACCAAAAATTATTTCGACCAACTAATTTTCTTTGTCTTTCTTATTTTCTTTGTTTCCGCGGAAGAGACTAATAACTGCTTTACTTGTGGCCCAAAATATAAGAAACTTACAAATTCGATGACAATAGAGTAATGACGTACCTATAATAAGGAATAAGGTGAAGCACCTACTTCTAGAAATTTCTTTTCAGTATATACATTCCAGTAGGCACATTAACAATTTGGCAAGTACTATATAAGCCTATATACTCTGTATATACTTGCAGGTAATTCAAGGTTTCGTTAATCATGAAAATCCACATCTTTACAGTTATCATGCATTNCTTTTGGTCACTGATACGTCCATTATGCTTTTTATTCCAATAGTTGTTGACCCAAATGATTACGAAACGTTGTAAATAATTGTTTAAAACATGAATTATTTCTGTGAGAAAACGTATCAACAAAAAGATTTCAATTTCCGGTCGTCACGAGAAAATACAGGAAACACGCTACGCTAACGACATTATCTGACTTTTATTACACATAAGTAACACACGGCATAATTACACACACGTCTACGTTTATTGCTAGATTCGTGAGCGACATGCTTTTTTTTGCAATTTTTACTATTTAACTTACAGTTCCAGAACTTTTTATATTATGTAATTTGTTTGTCGTCGTTAGTTATAATTATAGTTTGAAAAAGAATTTATAAATCGAATAGTGCTGTATACGATGACCTTTTATGATAACTTAATTTGCACATTTATCTTGAATTTCTGGGAGGAAGCAAATTGCACTTCCGTGATAGAATTTCCGTAATTTATGATACATATAAAGTAATCATCATCATAAGGTAGTAAGTCCTAGACACGCATCTCCACTCTCTCTTATTCTTTTAATCTCTGCATTTCCCTAAACTTAGAACATCATATATCCTTAACTATTTGTGAGCAGTAATCTAATCTAGATCTATCTCTACCCCCCTTAACTTCTGTTTTTGCTTCTAATATATCTCTAACTAGCCCTTCATGTCTGAGAAGGTGTCCTACTAATCTCTCTCGCCTATTTCTTATTGACTTCCATAGTGACTTCTGTTCCTCTATCCAGTCTAATATCTCTCCTCATTTCTTATCTGCTCTATTCACTGTATCCTCATCATTCGCCTATAACACCACATTCTGAATGCTTCTAACTTTTTCTTTTCCATGGCGTCCACCATCCACGTTTCGCACCCGTAATCGTTCACGAGCATATAATTGACTTCTTTTTTTAAAGGCGACTCGACCTTGCGCTATCCTCTGTTTTACACCTTTACTGCTCCTTCCATCCTGAATTAACTGACTTCCTAGATACCGAAAATAAATCAGAACCTCTTCTAATTTTTCGTCTCCCATCTTTGTATTCACTCTTTCCCTACTTTTTCTTCCTTTGCATACCGGTATTTTTGTCTTATTCAGTACCATACAATACTATTTTATCCATTTTATTTAAAGCTACCTCTTGCAGGTATGCCGATTTTATATATGCTAGTTCTTGTGTGCTTAATTTAGAGAGATATGTTATTTTAATTGAAAAATACAATAAAAATTTTAATGAATTAAATGTGCGCTCAAAAAAGTTCATAAATAGTTACCTCTTGAACCAACAAAACCGAAATTTATTCTTGTAGTATTGTTTGTCTTATAATATATAGGTACTGATGATCTGCTTTCGGAAAGTAATCACTAATATGTAGAAATTATATTCATATTCAATGAAGAATGAAGTTTGTTTCTGTGCTTCTCAGTTTTGCCAATTGAGTTTCGGCATT